ATATATTTATAGAAAAAGACTAATAATAGCAGTATGTTATGCATCAATAGCAGCAACAGCTTTTCCAGGTTCTGCAGTCATCTGAACAAAATTATAGACATTCAGCACATTCCATTAAAAAAAAACAAAGAAAAGAATAATATCCAGATAACAGCAAAGTTCTGTTGCTGTTGTGGTACCTGGCACCATTTTCTTTATTAGCATCTTAATCATCATCTGGAAAGAGAATATTCTAGAGTAATATCACTAAATACAGCTCTGATAAAGCACAGTTACCTACTATGTATCATAAAGCAGGTACAAGATATTTTACATTCATAGAGGTATGATACAGTACCGTCCTACATCAATAATACCAGAATCAGTTTTGGTTTGAAATTTGCTTTGTCTGCAAATAAGATTGCTACCCGTTTTTTTCTGGGCTCCTGTCACATGGAGAATTGTTTTCCATCCTTTCACTTTCAGTCTATGGGTATCAAAGCCCTTATTAATAAAAAATGGAATTATTTTCTATCCAACTCATTTCTCCATGAAATTTTTTAAAAATCCACTTTTAATGCTAGATACCAAATACAAACTATCACTTATTTATTTTGTTGAATGTTTAATCCTTCATCTCAATTGCTTAAATGATCCTATTTTTAAATTTAAAACTATGATAATTTCTTTATTTTACTTCCCCCCACCCATGAAAAATGAACTTTAACAGATACGTTATTAAGAAATATAAAATGGAAAGCCAGGGGATCATTTGGTTGCTGTTTATTTCGTTGGTTGGTTTTTGCCTTCTCAGATGACAGGTTTTCAGTTGCACATGATGCTTTATCTTTCACTACATTATTATTTGGGTATCCTCTTCCCATGACCCTTAATTCCCTCCCTACTATGGGTCATATATTTTCTGGAAGCTTCTGCATATTAAGCCCACAGCAAAGAAAACCCAGTGGTTTGGGTGTGCATAGTGAGAGGGGGCCAGTTACCTGGCTGGGCACTAGATCCCAAAGTTTTTTCATCTCAGATCATAGTATTATTAAGTCAGCTGTATTTCCTGGCCCTACAATATCCCAACTGTGGGTAATGAACCATGAACCCATCAGAAGGCAGCTTGTGCTAGAAATTCACTACAGAATGGTGTGTTAAGATAGTGTAATAAAGCTACTTCCTTATTCACATTGCTTTCAAGTGTGTTACCTGTTTCCTTACACATGTTGTATTCTTAAAAAACCAGCAGATGGGGTTCCTAGTTCTTTTTTTTTTT